GGGGTCGAGCGCGTCGGGCGTGCCGTCGCTGTCCGTGTCGGCGGAGCCCTCCTCGGCGTCGGGCACCCCGTCGCCGTCCGAGTCGGGGTCGAGGTAGTCGGGCAGCCCGTCGCTGTCCGTGTCGACCGTGCCCTCCTCGGCGTCGGGCAGCCCGTCGCCGTCCGAGTCGGGGTCGAGGTGGTCGGGGATGCCGTCGCCGTCCGTGTCGACGGTGCCCTCCTCGGCGTCGGGGATGTTGTCGCCGTCCGAGTCGGGGTCGAGTGCATCGGGCGTGCCGTCGCCGTCCGTGTCGGCGGAGCCCTCCTCGGCGTCGGGGATGCCGTCGCCGTCCGAGTCGGGGTCGAGCGCGTCGGGCGTGCCGTCGCTGTCCGTGTCGGCGGAGCCTTCCTCGGCGTCGGGCACCCCGTCGCCGTCCGAGTCGGGGTCGAGGTAGTCGGGCAGCCCGTCGCTGTCCGTGTCGACCGTGCCCTCCTCGGCGTCGGGCAGCCCGTCGCCGTCCGAGTCGGGGTCCATGGCGTCGGGGATGCCGTCGCTGTCCGTGTCGGCGGAGCCCTCGACGGCGTCGGGGATGCCGTCGCCATCGCCGTCGGGGTCGAGGTGGTCGGGGATGCCGTCGCCGTCCGTGTCGACGGTGCCCTCCTCGGCGTCGGGGATGTTGTCGCCGTCCGAGTCGGGGTCGAGTGCATCGGGCGTGCCGTCGCTGTCCGTGTCGGCGGAGCCCTCCTCGGCGTCGGGGATGCCATCGCCGTCCGAGTCGGGGTCGAGCGCGTCGGGCGTGCCGTCGCTGTCCGTGTCGGCGGAGCCCTCCTCGGCGTCGGGCACCCCGTCGCCGTCCGAGTCGGGGTCGAGGTAGTCGGGCAGCCCGTCGCTGTCCGTGTCGGCGGAGCCCTCCTCGGCGTCGGGGGTGCCGTCGCCGTCCGAGTCGGGGTCCATGGCGTCGGGGATGCCGTCGCTGTCCGTGTCGGCGGAGCCCTCTACGGCGTCGGGGATGCCGTCGCCATCGCCGTCGGGGTCGAGGTGATCGGGGATGCCGTCGCCGTCCGTGTCGACGGTGCCCTCCTCGGCGTCGGGGATGTTGTCGCCGTCCGAGTCGGGGTCGAGGTAGTCGGGCGTGCCATCGCTGTCCGTGTCGGTGGAGCCCTCCTCGGCGTCGGGCATCCCGTCGCCGTCCGAGTCCGGGTCGAGGTAGTCGGGCAGCCCGTCGCTGTCCGTGTCGACCGTGCCCTCCTCAGCGTCGGGCAGCCCGTCACCGTCCGAGTCGGGGTCCATGGCGTCGGTCGGTGTTCGCAGTCACGATTGGCATAGTTGGGGTTTGGTCAAGACAAGCGTTGATGGCATCGTCAATCTCAATGTACCCTGTCGTGCCTTCTGTAAACGGCACGGTCACGACAATCGCATCCGAGGAAGCACAGGCCGCGTTGATCGCATTGACCTGCGCGACGTAGTCCAAACCGTTCGAGTACCAAGTCACGTCGAAGTCCTGCGAGCCAGCCTCGGCCCCGCCTCTCCAGACGTCCCAGAACTCGGAGCCCGCGTCAGCGTGGGTCACAAACGTGATCGACAGTGGGCAGGCCGCTTTCGCGTAGGGGTGCGTCGGGCTTTCGCCGGCTTCGACCTCGCCGCTCTCGACAGGATTCGAGCTCAAGTCCATACCTGGATTCATCAAAAGTGCGTAGAGCAGCCCGGACGATTGTAGCCCCTGCGAGTACACCGACTGGCCGAAGAAGGCAAGCTCCCCCCTGTTCTGGTCGTCCCCGCACTGAAGCGACACCGTGACACCGGCATCCGTCAGCTTATTTGCCGCCCCCACGCCCAGGGCGATGACATAGTTGTCTGAGCTGATGTCCGAAATGGAGCTGTCCACGGTCAGGGCCGAGTCATCGCAGACGCAGTCGCCCCAGAGAGGGCCCGTCGTGCTCCCGGTGTAGCACCAGGCGGTCCTGCCGTAGTCGACGGTGGTGCACGCGTCATATGACACTCCTTTGTACGTGAATGGGAAGTTCGGGCAGCCCGTCGCCGTCCGAGTCGGGATCGAGGTAGTCGGGCGTGCCATCGCTGTCCGTGTCGACCGTGCCCTCCTCAGCGTCGGGCAGCCCGTCGCCGTCCGAGTCGGGGTCGAGCGCGTCAGGGATGCCGTCGCTGTCGGTATCTGCCGTGCCCTCCTCGGCGTCGGGCACTCCGTCGCCGTCCGAGTCGGGGTCGAGCGCATCGGGCGTGCCGTCGCTGTCCGTGTCGGCGGAGCCCTCGTCGGCGTCGGGGATGCCGTCGCCGTCCGAGTCGGGGTCGAGGTAGTCGGGCGTGCCGTCGCTGTCCGTGTCTCGTCGGCGTCGGGGATGCCGTCGCCGTCCGAGTCGGGGTCCGTCGCGTCAGGGGTCCCGTCGCTGTCAAGATCAGAGCTGCCCTCCTCAGCGTCGGGAATGCCGTCGCCGTCCGAGTCGGGGTCGAGGTAGTCGGGCGTGCCGTCGCTATCTGTGTCGGCGGAGCCCTCCTCGGCGTCGGGGGTGCCGTCGCCGTCCGAGTCGGGGTCGAGGTGGGCGCCGGAAATCGCAAAGTACAGGTCGCTCGAGACGGCGAGCCGGGCGCAGGTCCCGCCCATGGCGTAGTTGGTGCTCCCTACGTAGCCGTCCCAGCTGTCGTACAGCCGCCCCGTCAGGTTCGAGTCAATGCCCATGCTGTAGGCGGTGTCAGTGTTGGCGAGCAGAAACTTGAGCTCGTCGGCCCGCGTGCTCATGCAGGCGTTGATGGCGTTCGCGATGGGCGCCTTTTCTTCGTCCGTCGCGTACGGAATGGTGAGAACAACGCCACCAGCTGAGCTATCCGAACAGGCCGCGTTTATGGCGTTGACGGTCTCTGTCACGCTGTAGTCCGTACGAACGTAAATGAGCTCCGCACTCGGCGGCAGGCCATTTTGGGCGCCTTCACCCCAGGTGCCCCAAAAGGAGCTGGTCGCAGAGCCGTGCGTGATGGCGTAGATGGTCATGGCAGGCGTTGGTACCCCGCACGGATCGATGTAGTCGGGGACGCCATTACTGTCGAGATCGATGGTCCCCTCCTCGGCGTCAGGCAGCCCATCCGCGTCGGAGTCGGGATCCATGGAGTTCGGGATGCCGTCGCTGTCCGTGTCGGCGGAGCCCTCCTCGGCGTCGGGGATGCCGTCGCCGTCCGAGTCGGGGTCGAGGTAGTCGGGCGTGCCGTCGCTGTCCGTGTCGGCGGAGCCCTCCTCGGCGTCGGGGGTGCCGTCGCCGTCCGAGTCGGGGTCGAGGTAGTCGGGGATGCCGTCGCTGTCGAAATCAGTGATGCCCTCCTCAGCGTCGGGCAGCCCGTCACCGTCCGAGTCGGGGTCGAGGTAGTCGGGCAGCCCGTCGCTGTCCGCGTCCTCGACGTTCGACTCGAGCCGGTCGGGGATGCCGTCGCTGTCGGCGTCGGCGGTGCCCTCGGTGGTGTCGGGGATGCCGTCGCTGTCAGCATCGCCGTCGTCCTGCTGCAGCAGCGGTGTTGAGAAGGATTGACCGAGGAGGCCGTGCGGCAGAATATGCGCATCTGCGTCTTCTCGGCCCTGAAGCGTCACGCTGAGCCTGGAGGCATGGCCACCCTCGCGATGTGCGCTGATGATGGCTCTCCAGCTGCCGAATGCGAGAGTCGCATTCGAGGAGGCACGTTCAACTGAGAGCTCGCCGCACGTGTAGGCCTCGCCGCCCTGGAGATCAAACGGGCGATCCCCGCACGCTCCGTACAGCGCGTGGCCTCCAGAGCTCGCGCCCAGCTGCATTCCTCTGACGGAAGCGGTTACTGTGCGCCAGGGCGCACTCACCCTCGCCACTAGATGCACTTCAGTGGCCACTGAGCCGCTGGCGCCGATGGGGCTTATGGGAGGGCTGGTAATGCCTTCCGTCTTGACGTTGATCGCAAGTCCGGGCGCTGAAAGAAGGCAGTAGAACTGGCTGCTGCGGCCTCGGAAGTCTGCATTACCGCCGTGCGCAAATGACAGCTGCGGCTCTCGCTGCCGCGCACTCGCACTGGGGCACTCCGCCCTCAAACCCTGTAAGGGCAGCAATAGAAGTAGCACCGCCGGCGAGCGGCCGGGGTCGGCTGGCATGCCTGTTTAGCCAGCAAACCGACAACCACGATCCTACCACGATGCGTAGACCGCGATCGCGGCGTGAACCTATGGACAGGCTTGTCGGCCGATGCGTTGCTCAGGCGCAAAAATCCAGGTGGCGACCCCCAAACGGACGTAAATAGTGTTTGGATGTGGCCGACGGGCGTAATTCCCAAATACGGCGTAGAACCGCCGTTTTCAAATCCCCCTCGCAGAGTTCCAAAATTGCCCGTAAACAATTTACCCAGGGGCAAGCGGGCAGGGAGGAGGGCGTCGATTTCCCGCTGGCTAGCCAGCCAGGCACTCTCACGCTCTCACTCATTGCTTTGCCCCCCATTTCTCTCGGGCGTCCCCTGTCTGTGGTGACAAATAAAAACGGACACCTCCGGAGTCGCTCCTCATCGCAAACCCTGTCAGCAGTCCTCCTTCGGGAATACACATTAAAAAAGAGAGGACGGTCCCCCATTCCCAATGCACTTGATTGAGCACTTGAGCACTGCCACTGGATAGGCCCCGGCCCCCGCCGCCGCCGGGCCATATGGTCGATTCCGCATTGGACCATGGTACGGGGCCCCTCGATTGTCTCGCCCTCCCTCGGCTGGTGTATGGTTCATTTGGTGGGGGTCTCATAAGACATACAACAAAGAAACAAACACGGTATACAGGATCGAGGTGCACGTGCTGCTGAAGCGCAGTGTGTGCGATGTCGTGTGTTTGTCGTCCCCCCTCTCCATCATCTCACTGGGAGACGTCGGCGGTGGTGGCGGTGTGACCGATCGAGAGCTACAAGAGTCCCCTTCCAAGTTCCAATGCGATTAAACATACATGCATAAAGGGAGCCTCTAGGGTTCGGCGAAAACGAAAAGTCGATCTCTGCAAAGCATCTCAGTGGCGCGCCCTGTCACGGCACGCGAGCGTGTTGCAATGCGCGCACAAAAATGGAGTGGGCCCGCAGCGCCTCGCCGATGTGGCGCAAGAAAGCGCCGATGAGGGCATCATCGAGCGCCGCAGGCGTAGGAACGGCATGTCCTCGGGAGCTAGCCGCTCGGCCCAAGACGCGGGCAGTGCCGCTGCGCGGCGCGAAGCTGAGCGCAAGCGAGGGGACCCACATCGGCGAGGCAGCCGCCGATGGAGGTTGCGCGGGGGTGACTGAGCTGAGAGGGTCGCTGGCGCCCAAAGCAGGCCCGCCCGAGCCAGAACGGCGGTGGTGGTGGTTTGGGGCGCTGTCCGAAGCGCCAGCCACGCCCCAGAGGCTTCCCGGGCGAGACTTGGCAGAGCGCCTCGCAAGCGTGTCTTGGCGACTCGTCGTGGACCGATCGACCGCCACGAGGAGAGCGACCCGCTCGTCCGTGCGCAGCAGGTGCAGGACACACTCCTCCCCCCCCAGGCTGCAGATCGCGCGGCGCGTGACCCCGTCCTGGTCGGGCGGCGGAGGCGCGGAGGCCGCGGCCGCCAGCGCGGGTGCGGAAGAGAAGCAGGAGAGGAAGGGCTGTAGGAAGGGCTGTAGCTCCGCGCCGTGAATCTCGAGGGGGCACTGCTCGCGGCAACGCGGCGTCGAGAAGAGCACGAGCCAGCCTCTCTCCGCCACCCGGGCGGCCTCGCCCGCACGCCAACCGTCTAGCGCCTCCGACTCAGCCACCGCATACACGCCACCGCCGCCGCCGCCGCCATCCTGCTCAGTGCCGCCGTCGCCACCCTGTTCAGCGCCGTCACTGCTTCCGCCGCCATCGCGTGCGGTGCCGCCGCTGCTCGCGAGGCATAGACCGGCGCAAAAAAGGAGCAGAGCGACGAATCGAACGCCGGGCGTGCGGCCGAAATCATCGAGGGTTTCGGCGAGGGGCACGTCCACGTGTCGTGGCGCGGCAGCGGCAGCGGGGGAGAGCAGCGGCGCGCGGAGTGGCCCGTGGAAGTAGAGCGCTGCCTTGCGGCGCAGTCCGGCGGAGTGAGCGCGCAGGACACGAAAGAGGTAGGGCTCGGGCGGAGCGCCGCGCGGCACCAGAGACAAGCTTCCCCGGGTGGCGGCCGCTGCGGCGGTGAGTGCCGCCTCCCGCAGCTCTTCGCGACGCGGCGAGTGGAGATTGCCCAGCTCCGCGTCCGCCGCCACCAGCGCGCAGATCGCCTCGCGCAGCCTGCAAGTGCCGAGCATGGCCTGCGCCCGGAGGAGCTGCTCCGTCACCGACAGCTCGAGCGTCGAGGATCGCAAGGGCGCCAGCTCGGAGGGCACCATCGACAGATATGAGGTGCGAAGCGCGCACACGCGCGCCTCCAGCGCCGCGGCGTCGCCGTCCGCCAGCGGTGCGCACATCTGCATGTACACCTCGGCCATGTAGCGCCGCAGCGAGAGCAGCCGCCCCACCTCGCGCATGAGCGCCACCAGCCGCTGCCACGACTCGCCGTCCTCGCTCCTCCCGCGCGCGTCGTCGATCCCGTCCTCGGAGCTACGGCAGCTCGAGAGCCGAGCCAGCTTCGGCGAGGGCATCAGGCCGTGCGACGACAGCAGCCGGTCGGGTGGGAGAGTGGCTGGCGACACGGCGCGGAGGTTGACGTCTCCGCATGCAACGAGCGACTCTCCGTGTCGCAATACCTCAGACTTCGCAGCCGCCAAAAGCTGAGTCACCCACGCGCCAAAGCCGCCGCCGCCGCCGCCGCCGCCGCCGCCGCCGCCGCCGCCGTTGGCGGCGGCCCACCCGAGCAGCGGGCTTGGAGGGGGTAGCGATGGCGGCGGCGGGCTGTCGGCGATGTCGGCGATGCGCTGCTCCGAGGCGGAGGAGGCGGAGGAGGCCAACCGGGTGGGTGGTGTCGGCAGCACGCCCTCTCGACCAGGGGCAACAGAGACCGTAGCCGATGCGGGCGTGCGGACCAGAGCGGCGATGCACGCCTCAATCTCGGCGCTCGCAACGTCGATGCGCCGCTCGAGGGCAATGCGTGCTGAGCGGCCCTCCTCGAGCGCTCCCCCGGCGTGGTGCGCCACCTCAACCTGCAGCACGGCGAGCAGCGCCGACGAGAGCCGTCGCCACGGAAGGGAGCCGGCGAGTGCCTGCGCCTGAGCCACGAAGCCGCACTCGAGCAGGGCCAGGAAGGTCGCAGTGAGCGAGCGGTAGCTCGCGTCGGGCTTCATAAACACGGGTAGCCGGACAAATGCGCAAGTGCTGCTGCTCACGCTCTGTTTTCGGGCGGGGTGCGCACTGTGTTCGTGCGTCGCCCATCTCTACTGGAGGTGTCCTCTCTTTTTTTTTTTGTCTTTCCCCAACTCACGGAAGCCTACCACCACTTGCGCCGCCGTTCACTTGTACGAAGTAACAACGAATTGTTTACACGCCTCGCTCGCACGACACTATAGATAGGCACGTTTAAACTCCCTGTGTGGTGGCGGCGTGCGGTCCTCCCATCCCTCCCTTGCGCCTTGCTGTCTGTTTTCTTTCTTTCTTTTCCATAGGCACGGGCGGGACTGGCGCGCACTGGCACTAAAGAAAGAATAGGGGTCCCGTACCACGCTAGGGTGCCCACAGGACCCAAAAAAAGAAAGGAAAAAAGAAATGGGCCACCCCCGATCGCAGCACTTCGATGGGGAGCGAGAACCGTCAAAGGTGCTCACGGAGGTGATAGGAACGAGTGTATCGCTTCGACGGATCGACCGTACTTATTATCAAGCAAGACCGATGTGACGTACACAGTGACACATCAGACGACACATCTTCTCCCACCCGCTGGGACGCAAAACGCTCTCGACGAGAGCCACAAGAAGCCGTCCGCACAGGAAGCCGCTCGTCGGACAGGCGTGCTCGCTTGATGTCGGCGAGCGCATTGCGCACGCTTTGAACGGTGGCGAAGCCAAAAACACCGATGGTGTCCGTCCGCCGCCGGCGTATGCGGCGGCGATCGGTCCCTAACCCAACGATTCTGAAGTTGGGTCCCTCGGTGCCCCCAAGGGGGCACAAAGGTAGCTCAAAGGGGAGTGAACAAGCCGCCGCACAGGCCTCAGGCGACGTGACGCTCGCCGCCTGCGCTCGCCGCGTCGCTCTCTCCCTCCAGATCTCTGCTTGAACCCACCACCATCCCCTGTCACCTCCGTGTGTGTGTGCCTGCTGGGGGATCATCTGGCTTCCGGGATACGGTACTTCCGCGAAGCTGCCCCCAGCAGGCGTTTGACCAAAATGCAAAATAAGCAAAACGTCCAAATTTCCCTACTCCAGTTAAAACCCCAAACGGCTGTGGTTCCCATATGGGAACTTCGCCAATCTGTGAAAGAGAAAGCTGATGCGGCTGGTCGCAGCGGCCGATCCAGCAGTCGTCTGCGACATGGCAGTGGCCCCGAGTCATGTGCAGCTGGTCCCGAGCGGCTCAGGTCCCAGATCGAATCTCGGACCCACAGATTCTAGATTCCTTTAGATTCCCTGGATTCCCGCAACAGCGATCTCTTAGCGGCGGCAAACAGAGGCGCAACTCTGCCAGCAGCGAGGAGGCTCCTGCTGCTCAGCTACCGAGGCCTGGTGGCGTCGGCTGCTGCGTGGAGAAGACAGCAGCACTGTCCGACCTCAAAACATGCACAACAAGCGGGATTTGTGACTCTGTCCTCGATTCTTCAGTCGCTCTGCCGGACGCGCTCGCTTTGTCGCGAGGGTCACCAGTGCAAGCCGTGTGGACGCCCAGAATAGCCTCCCCTGGCTTAGCTAGAGTGAGAGATATTGTGCACGTGGTCAGCCTCTACAATATATACACTGACACTTTACCTCCCAGAGCTCGTCTCGGTCCGCCACGGCCATCCTCAGCCTCCGCGGGAGGGCCCCCGGCCGCGGCGCGGTGCGGCGGCGTCACAAATCCGACGTCAGTTCACCGGGACGCGATCGGGCGATCTGAAGTCCAACTAGGCGTATGGATTGTCCGCCCAGGGCTATCACCTGGACCCCTCAATGGACGCCTACGGTGCCGCCCCCACGAGGTGTTGTTCACACCTGTCCAACCATTCGCGTGCAGCAGGAACGCGCTGTGTGTGGCTGGCAGCAAACTCAAATGACGACGGGTTGCAGCCTCGTAGCTCAACGGCAACATTGTGCATGAGGAAGGCTGATAGAAGTATCACCAGCCACACAACCAACAGCTTCTGGAGAGTATGCGGAGCGCAAGCAGCCGGTGATCAAAGGCGTGTTGCTGTCGGTGGCAGATTGCCAGAGGGACGCCGGCGCCTCGGTGCGTGGCTTCGTCACACTTTTCCACCGCTCAACTTGGAGGCAGTGTGTCTAGTAGCGTGCTACACCTATGACGGCGGACCTCACTGGGGCGCCGACGTGCGACGACCGTCTGGGATCGAAAGACGAAACCGCGTCCCAGGAGCTCGTGCAGAGCGCGCTCCGGAGCTCGGTGGCGGGAAATTTGAAGGGAACGTGGTGGCTTCCCACCGCCTCTGTATGTGCCCAATAAAGTGCTAACACGACCCTCGGGCAGCAGGGGGTATGTGGCGAGCGCACGGAGGCACAGTTAGGCCGCCGTGATATCGCCCTTCCGGGCACCCCGTTTCGCGGGTAGCCGTTTAGGGGTTAAGGCTGCCCTCGGACCCGACATATGACCGCATGCATCAAAAGAGATTTTTCCATTTTCCCGAGAGAGTAATCGTAGCTCCAGACCAGCTGCCATCTACACGCATCGCACCTACTAGATAAAACGAGGCGGGCGTGAGGTCGAGTGAGGACCTCTGTTGGCCGGCGCGCAGGGGGAAATGGGTGCGAATGTGTGTGGCCTACTGGCCCGGGACGCAGCGGGCGATGCGCGACCGGGCTAGCGAGGACACGGGAGTCTGGCTTCAGGGAACGGGCCCCGGCCGACGGGAGCGACCAGGACCAACTGATTAGAAGCAGAGGGCGGCGAACTGGGGCTTTCGGTCTCAGATAGCGGGGGCCAGCCTGCCGGGGTGCCCCCCGGCAGGTGGCGCGGCATCGCCAGGGAGTGGCTGGCTTGACGGGTCTATCACAACCCTTGATACAGCGTCCTCACTGACCGGCGGAGCTGGGCGGGCGGGCGGCGGGCGGGCGGGCGGCGGGCGGGCGGTGGGCGGGCGGCGCACCCTTGGGCTAGCTAGCTGCCGCCTGAAGCACATGCGCAAAGCGACAAGCCTCGCCGCGCGTGCAGCTGCCGGACTGGAACTTGAAGCAGACGCCCGCCGCGGGCTTGCGCGGCTCAGGACAGTCCTTGGATTTGTGGCCGACGCCGCCGCAGTTGAAGCACGGCAGGGTCGCCTTGGTCGGGCAGTCGCGAGACGAGTGGCCGCGCTGGCCGCACGAGTAGCACGTGGTCTGGGAGGCGCGCGCTGCCGCCGCGCCACCCACCTCTCCGAACCGTGCCTTTTTCGCCCGAGTGCACTCGGTGCACCGCCGCTTTCCCGCCTCGGCCCACCCCTTGCTGAGGAAGAATTTCTGCTCGGCGACCGAGTAGGTGAAGGAAGCGCCGCAATCTGTGCACCAGCGCTCCTCGTCGACGAGGTGCGAGTCGGCGGTCTCGTCCACGGCATCCTCCTCTGCGGGGCGGCTGGTGCCGCTCTCTCGGCTGCTCGCCGCGGGCGCTTCGGCGTCGCCATGGCTCGCGGGTTCGTCCTCGGCGCGATGGCGCTTGCCGTGCTTCTTGGCTCGCTTGGCCGCGGCAGCAGGGTTGGCGGCGAGCTTGGCGGCGCGCTTGGCCGCCTTGAGCGCGGCGTGCTCGTCCTCGCGCATGTTACGTCCTAGTGGGGGCCCTCGTGGAAGAGGAGGCGACGAGGTGGCTCGGCCCGCGCTTTTTTTTACGTGGATGATGGGGATCTCCCTCCGACTGTCGGAGCCGCACGCGATGCGGGCATGCGCGCGCGATGGCTCCGTTGGCTCCGTGCCTAAGGCAGATAGGTTAGGGTGTGAGGCGGCAGCCACCGTTTCTTTACCTCGATCACGTGCAGGCGTCGGAGCACGGACGGAGGCCGCGATGGATGGCCCAGGGCCGGCGGCGGTGAAGGAGCGACTTGGTGCACGCTGGGTCGAGCATCATGGCTCGCACCTCATCCTGGGCAAGGAACTCGCCCAGGGGCCAGCTGTTGGCATCGCCGTTTTGATCGAGCTGCATCCACTGCATGGTTTCGTAGTCAAGCGTAAGAGCAGGCGGACATCGCTTCCAGGGAGGGGGGCGCACTTCTACTCACGCCCCACCCCCCCCCTAGCATGTGGTGAAGCCTCTGGGGGGGTCGGGACCCCCCCCCTAGCATGTGGTGGGCACCCCCCAGCAGTTCGTGGGCTAGGAATAGGAGCGGCCGCATTTTGCTCGCTACCCCCCCGGCACAACTAAGCTCATGGCCGACCCCCCCCCCAGCAGCAGCGTTCTGCTGCTGGGGGGGTCGGGACCCCCCCCAAGCAGCAGCGCTCTGCTGCTGGGGGGGTCGGGACCCCCCCCCAAGCAGCAGCGCTCTGCTGCTGGGGGGGTCCGGACCCCCCCCCCCGCAGGAGCGCTCTGCCTGTGGGGGGTGCTGGCATCTCTGTACAGACAGCAGCTGTAAGTAGCATGCGTTCCAGTGGCGAGAATTTATAGTCGGCATCAAAATCAGTGGTCTCACCGGCGGGCCCTCCTACTGCCAACCGGGAGGTGCGGGGCACGCCAGCCTCTCTTCTACGCCTCTCGTGCCTCGCGGCTCCTCTGCTTCAAGGAGGGAAGATACGGCTCTCGCAGCCCATCGTACGCCGTGGCACAGCGGGGAGCACAGCGGGCTGTACAAGATATTGTTCCCTATCTTCGCATGCTCGTCGTTGGTGATATCCGCGCGAGGTCATACGCCACAGGCCAGCAATCGATGATGAGACTACTGATGGAGGCGCGACGCTCTGACACCGAGTGTTGCTCGACACTGCGACACTGCCGAGTACCGCGCAACGCTTTCTCGCGAGGTGTATTGGGCTCGAAGGCGCGGCGAACACAACCGCCTCGAGCGTACGAGTACCGCTTAAACACGAACCGAGGGCGGAGAGGGGGGGGCGGCGGCGAGGAGGCGGGAGAGCTGGGTCCAGTGCGCTCTGCTGCTGGGGGGGTCGGGACCCCCCCCCCCCCCCAGCATGTGGTGAAGCTTCTGTGGGGGGGGGCGGGACCCCCCCCCTAGCATGTGGTGAAGCCTCTGGGGGGGGGTCGGACCCCCCCCCTAGCATGTGGTGTGAGTAGAAGTGCGCCCCCCTCCCTGGAAGCGATGTCCGCCTGCTCTAAAGGAGTTGGTGCCTGGGTGACTTGCTGATGAGAGCGCCTTCCAGGCGGGTAGTCGTGCCCCTCACCTAAGGTCATGCGGCGGCGTCAGAGGGGGGGAGGGGCGCGAACCGTGAACATGGAGGCAAGCAGGTGGTGGGCACCTGGCCAAAGCCGGCGACCTCAAAAGTTGTCGTAGGTTGTGCGGATATCGCTGAGCGTGAGCGGATCGATTGTGGACTGATCGATCGTCGCGGGCGGTGCTCAGCTTGGACTGGGCTGAGCCCTGGCCTCGACACCTCGACACCAAACCTCGACACCAATTCGACACCTCGACACCCCGTGCCAACTCGACCAACTCGACACCCCTCGACACCCCTCGACACCCCTCGACACCCCTCGACACCATCTAGGCTGAAACCACGCTCGCGCCGGTGTCAAGGTGCCAAACTCGACACCTCGACACCGCTCGACACCCCTCGACACCGCTCGACACCGCTCGACACCGCTCGACACCGCTCGACACCGCTACCGCTCGACACCGCTCGACACCGCTCGACACCGCTCGACACCTCTGATGATCCTAACACAGCACAAGGGCTTATCCTTATGCTCTGGCGAGATGTGAGGCGCATGCGAGGAGGGGAGGGCGCATGCGTAACGACGCTGCTAGAGATGCCTTTCGGGGCCCAGAGATAAAACTTCTGATGCCATGCGTGACCTAGTAGTGTCCCCAGCTATGGGCGTGTCCACGTTGGAGCCAGGCGTGGTGTGGGCGCGAGAATAGCTCCGCCGTTCATGGAGGCAACCGATGCGAGTCGACTGGTGTGTGTCGTCGTGGTTTCGTACGTATCAAGAATACTCACTCACCGTGAAGCAGTGTCGTCCCCCCTCTCCATCGTCTCCCTGGGTAACCCTAACCCTAACCCTAACCCTAACGTTCTGCGGCAAAAGAGAGGGAAAGGTTGATGTCCTCTTTGGAAAAGCAGTCCTCCTCCGGGAATGTCCGTAAGAGCCACATACATTGGGAGAGAGAGAGAGAAAACCTTCTTCTGCCCGGATGGGTCAAAACGTAACCACCCAAGACAGCTTGGAGAGCTCCCGGTCCCGCAACATTTCGTAACGATTGTCGCTATTGGTCATCTGCCTCTTACAGCCTCTGTTGGGGTGGAATGCGCGGGGTTTTCGGCGCGATGCCTCCGGCGAGTACACGGTACTGCTCTGCCGCAAGCTCTCCTGCGCGCGCGTGACGTGTGGGGCGCATGCACTGCGCTCGAAAGTCGCGATTTGGCAATAGGCGCTCGAGCCGGCGCGCAGTGGAAGGGGGCGCCGCGCAGGGGGGTCGGGGGGGTGCGAGGGGGGGCGTGGGTCGGGCGCGCACCGGCCGGCTCCGAGAGCGGCCGTCACGTCGAAGAGGGGACCTGGTGCTGCTCGAATGACGAGGCGTGCCGCTCTGCTGCGCTGCCGACAGCCCCTCTTCCGAGCCGGCGCGTGGCGGCGAGCCGCGGCCAGTGTCGCTGGTGCGGTGGAGGCGGCAGCTTGCATCGGCCGGCAGCGGGTGCGGCCATCACGTCGATGAGGGGGGGTTGTCGGCGACTCGTGTGGCTCGAGGCCTACGCTGCGCCGCCCGAGCCCTACTGCCGATCCAGCGCCTGGCGTTTGGGGCGAGCCGCGGTCGTCGTCGCTGGTGGTATGGCGGCGGCGGCGGCGGCTCGCCCTTCCCTCCGGCCGCAATTCCGATCCCGCCGCGCTCGCGGGAGGTCGCGCGTATATAGAGCCGGCTCTATTTACAGAGCGAGCAAGGGCCTCCGTGCTGCTGTGCGCCCCCTGGTGCGTGGGTGCTTTCAAGTTCTTAGATCACAACCCAAGGATGATATAATAAGGCAAAAAGATCCTTGCGCCTTGCCGATCCGCACCTACCTAGGCTCTTGGGTGGCGCGCCCTCTCTTGAAAGAACTTGGTTTCTTCTACCTAGGCGAAAGTTTCTTCTATCTTACTAGGTATCTGCCTCCAACCCGGCCCCCGCAGGCGCCGAGCGCGCATGTCGGGGCTCGCAAACAGCCGCCTGAAGGAGGAGCGCAGGAACTTCCGGAAGAGCCGTCCATTTGGCTTCGTCGCCAAGCCCGCGACGCTGCCGGACGGCTCGCAGGATCTGATGCGGTGGGAGTGCGTCGTGCCCGGCAAGGAGGGAACTCTGTTCGAGGGTGGCGTTTTTGCAATGACGATGGTGTTTGACTCCGACTACCCTCAGTCGCCGCCGAAATGTTCTTTCGATCTCATCGACGGCAAGCCGCTCTGCCACCCGAACGTGTACCCCAGCGGGAAGATTTGTCTGTCGATAATCAACCCCCAGGGCTCAGATGGCGGCACCTGGACGCCCTCCACGCAGATCAAGGTCATCTTGTTGGCCATCCAGACGCTGCTCGACGAGAAGGAGGTCAACCCTTTGTCGCCCGCGCAGACCGACGCGTACCAGCTCTTCACAAAGGACCGCGTGGCGTGGCGGAAGCGCGTGCGAGAGCAGGTGGCGCGGGTGACACCAGGCGGTGCCACCGGCTCGGCGAGTGGCGGGTCGGGCGGGCCGGGTGGGCCAATCGTCCTCGAGTAACTATCATCGACATGCGGGCGGGTTCGCGAGATCACGTCAAGAGGAGAGTGAGGGGCGTTGAGCGTGGGGCGCTCGCGGGGGCGCTCGTGTTGGGCGGTTTACGACGGAGCTCGGGGGCGGTGAGCGCGGTTATCTCTTATCTCTGCTACGACGGAGCTCTCGCGTGGGGCGAAGCGTCTGCGGCCGGCCCGTAGTCACGCAGGAGCGTCCTGCGTACGCTGTAGTCACGAGGCGAGGCTTCTCTGCGCGCTGGACTATAGGTGCTGGGCTAGGGGTCCAGCCCTGCAGGGTGAGCCAGATCTGACGTTTTGTGACATCGCGTCAGGTCCGTGTTTTTCTCGTCTTGCGGTACATCTCTCCGCTCGCCACCTCACGCTCCGCCGTCCGGCCATGGATGGTTCGATGGAGCTCGGCGAGCTCCATCGAACCATCCAACTCCGGTCACCGGGGGTCTGAACGCGCTCAGCCTCAGGAGGTACCAAACCGCGCGAATTCTGCACGCCTCGCTGCACCGCTGGCTTGACTGAATCAGGCAGCAGCAGGCTGCTGCTGTTGCCACAGCAGCAGTCTGCTGCGGCCCCAATACGCAAGTTAATGACCAGCATTGCTGCCGGGGGCATTCGAGCCGCCACAGCCGGTGTGCGGCTGTGCACTGGCCACTGCCACCTGCCCGCGGCTACGCACATGTGCGCTCGCATTGGATGAGCCCTGCTGATGGACCTGCGTCGCCTAGCTGCACGAGAGCAATGCCGCAGGCGGCGGCCGTGGCATACACTGCGAGCACACAATAGGGTTTGTGGAGCGTCCAGACATGTCCAGAAGGTCCACCAGGTCCAGAAGGTGTCCAGAAGATGTCCAGAAGGTGTCCAGAAGATGTCCAGAAGGTGTCCAGAAGGTTGGAAAAGAATGTGGGAACGTAGAGAGTCCTCTGCAGGTGTGCTGAAGGCCTCAGGTGTTGTACAGAAGGTCTCACTCAGTCAGGTAAAGCCGTAGGTCGCACGTGTCTCAAACAGTCGCCTCCACCGAGTGAGCAACCCAGTCAGTCATGGGCTATGAAAAGAAGGCATTGTGCTTTGCTGATGAAGGCCTGCGGGCCTTCTGGACATTCTGGACGTTTGCTAAAGCTTGCTAAAGCACCTTCTGGACATTTGCTAAAGCTTGCTAAAGCACCTTCTGGACATTCTGGACATTCTGGCGCGAACCGCAAGCGCGCGGTTTCCCCCCCATCCCCTTCTGACATTCTCGCGTTGCGTCCGGCGGTTGATGGCGCCGTCGTGGGTGGGCCGGCAATGAAAACCAGCAAGGCAAGCGCGCGAGGCAGATGCAGGTCCTGGCGGTCGGGAATGCCGCCATCACCCCGGGCGGCACCACGTCGTTCCTGTGCCTCTGATGCCACTCTCGCGGCTTGTAGCGCGTCACTCGCGCATGCTCTCCAGGAGCTATGGCGGGCGCGTGTGTGGGGTTGCGTTTCGTTTTTTCTCAACACGTGCCTCTGCACATCCGTTCTTGAAAAAGTGGGTGGGTGGGTAAACGCTTCGTAGGCCCCGGATGGTGAGTGGGTGGGTGGGTGGGTGGTGACTGTGTGGGTGAATCTCCTCTATGAATATTGTGTTCCTGCAGCGCAACAGCGCAACTTCCGCGCGCGCTTTTAGCGTGCCGCTGCGGCTTCTTTCTCTCTGTGTCTTCTCTTCTTCTTCACTTGCTTGCGGCTCTTTGTCCTTTGTTTGATTCGTGTTTGTTGTCTGTCTGAGTCTGTGGAGAGCGCCCCGCCGCGGTGGATGGAGCTCATTGAATTGGCGTGGGCCTGCTCGGCTGGTCCAGCTCAAGCTTCGGCTGTGTTGTTAAAGAAGGGCGGCGTCGGCACAGCGAGGTGAGAAAGAAAGAAAGAAAGAAAGAAAACAGACAAGCCAAGGGAGGGATGGGAGAACGGCACGCCGCCACCACACAGGGATTTTAAGGAGAGGGGTGTGGTGCGCTAGCCGTCGCCCACCCTTGGGCGTCCGCCTCTTCCTATCTCACTGCTGAGGTGAGGCAGCGGCAGCGAGGCGGTTGTCAGTTTGACAATTTTTCGACGAAAAGGAGGGCGTCCCGGCCTGTTGCAACAACCTTCCGGACCATGATTGCCGCGGCCAAGGTGCGCGCTCCAATACTAACCGCCCTGTGTGATCGTCGTCACCTCGTCCCCCACCGCCGTAGGGTGGCGCTAGCGGGATGAGCAGCCTGCTCGGCCTCCTCGGCAGCGCGGCGTTCGCGCTCGTTGCCGTCTACCTCGCGTCGCTCGTCACTGTCTGCCATGGGCCGTGCGGCAACAAGAAGGACGACGTCCTCTACGAGATGCGCAGTGCTGCCTGCTGCAGCCCGTCCGTGCAGGATTGCGGCAACTTCCTCCCGGGCCAGGGCTCCACCTGGCTGCACGGCATCTGCAAGCCCACCGCGCCCGACTTTTGCAACCTGCTTAAACCCAAGAGCTTCTTCAACGGCTGTTCGGCTGCGGGGACCGTCCAGGACGCGGTGGACAACGCGGTGGACAACTTTTTCGGCCGCTAAGGGGCGTGCATCGAAAGGGGGGGAGGCACCTCCGTGTGAGCAGGACGCGCGCGCACGGTGTGCCAGAGGAGGGACGAACGCGCGCACGCCGCGCGGAGGAGGGAGCACGGCACGCACAGCGCCACAGCACCCACACCCCGGAGCCTACACCGCCAGGCACGCAACCACGCTTTGGGCCCCGACAGCAGACTTTTTGTCCTGACTCCTGTTTTTCGGGACTCTAGAGAGCTGTTGCGCTGACGGGGAGAAGCGGATAGAAGCTCGCATCCGTCATTTGTGCGTGCCCGCCGAGGCCGCTCCACCGAAGCGACAACAACAAAACAACATTCTATCTCTCTCTCCGAAGCGCGAGCCGAAGGCCGAAGGCGAAGCGCCCGTCCTAGCGTAAAGCCGTACTAGGGCTCTGGGGGGAGGCGGGGGCCCAGACTGCCCCAGAGGGTATCCATGCGGGGGGGAGATGGGGTCCCACGGCCCGCCGCAGGCGTCGATTTTTTCGGGACTTTTTTCTTTTTTGCGCGATTTTTTACTTGTTTTCATGGGAATCGCCGCACTTGCGGCCATGCTATCACGCCTTGCGACATCCTTTCGGCGCTGCTGACCGTGCCAAGCTGCACAACTGACCACCTGCATAGCTCGCGGCCTTAGTATCCACCATTCAGTGACGACCTGATCGTACGGCCAGTAGGAAGGTGTCCTTCCAGCGCGTGGGCGTGCACGCTTCTGACGCAATGCGCGTCACAAACCTGCCTCGGCGACTGGCTGCTGGCACTCTCGAGGCTATGCCTACACAGCCTCGCGCGCATGGGCAGTCAAGAGGGACCATGCACTTTCTCAGGACAGCGCCAGTGCCTCTCCCTTGGACCGGCAAACGTGGTGGTCTCGTGTCACCAATGTGGGACCAGTGCGGCATCGCGCCATCGACAGCTCTGAACTGCGCCTCACTATGACGGGAAGGCCGCCAAGTGGGCCAGCACCGGTCACACATTGTGGCAGCAGTCAGCAGTTATCTGATAGCTAGAGCAGCAGCGGCAGGGTCGCAGGGTCGGATCATGTCAAGCCTCTCGCCCGGCCGGCCGCGTGCAGACGTCGGCCTGTCTGCTGTCTGGAGTGATCTGTCGGCGGTCAGTACGACCGATCAGGTTGGAGGGTCTATCTGTGTGTACTCCTCGATATCTCTCCAAATCTGCCCTCTGATTAACCTAGCTTAATCGGGAAGTTGGTGCTAATAGAGGCTAATAGAGCCGGGGCCCCGTTTCCCTCCGCACTGCGGCGCGGCGCACGGTGCCTCCGGGGGCCCCCGCCTCCCCCCCAGAGGCGTAGGGTGCCCACCGCACAGCGCACAGGCACAAATAAATAAATAAATAAAAACGGACACCTCTCTACTATGAGATGGGTAAAAAGGAACAGGTCCCCGCCCTTGCGATCTTTGTGCAGGGTTCTTTGTGGGTGTGGTCGGCGACTAGCCGGGGTCGTCCACAGGCACAGGGCCCAAAAAAAGAAAGGGGAAAAGAAATTGGCCAACCTCGATCGCAGCACTTCGTGTTGGAGAGTCGAGAAATTGAGAGTGTGACTAGGAGGGTGGGACGCTGGGGATTCTCAAAGGTATACCCTTGGAATGGCCGGATCCAGCCTTGAAAGTACGAGATCGCGCGCGCTTCGCGCGCTGCACCGCCTGTTCTCCGCGGCTGAGTGACGACGCGTGCCGTGTGCCAGCAGAGTTGGGCGCGCGCGGCGCGACGGCGCCCGCGAGGGAAGGCGCGGGTGCAGCGGCCACCGGCGGTCGTACCGCTCGCCGGCCAGCGCAGCAGCGGCCAGCGCAGCGCGGCCGCCGGCGCAGCAGCCAGAGCAGCCGGTGCGCGCCTTGCGAGGCGAGTACTGCCGCCCGGCAGCCTTGAGAGGCGGCCGGGCGGCAGTACTCGTTCGAATTTTGCGAGCCGTGCGCCCGCCCGCCCGGCTGCCAGTAGGACTAGGAGGCGGCGCAATATGGCCTATAGTACAGCCCTTGAGGAGGAGGAAGAGGCTGGCTGGCAGTGCTGTATGCCGCCGGGGGGCAGTTTTTGGGTGCTGACCCTCGCCCAGGGGGCTGCAGAAGGCGTCCGCAGCCGGGACAACCCGCCCCCCCCGCCGAGGCCGGTCGAAGCCCACTTGAGTGCAGCCATGAGGAGTCCTCTCTTGGTGCTCCTGGCGGCCGTTCAAAGGTCGGGCGCGCGCCGAGGGGGGTGGGTGTGTCTTGCTTGCTCCACACCGAGCGCCATCGGTCCGGACCGGTGCACTCACCGAGGGTCGGCTTGCACAAGGTCTGAGCCGCGGGCGCTCGGCGCCAAGTGCAGTCGGTCACGCTCGCGCTGCCGCTGGAGAGCGGGTCACAATGGGGAACCCTCGTTTCCTAGTCACTCGGTCCCCCAACGGAAGAGGCCTCTCTCCTATTGAAACATTCCAACATCAGATTTGCGTCGTGCTTTTTGAGCCGAGAGCTACTTTCTTTTGGGCACCCTATCTAGCGTCTTGCTGGTCGATTGCTCCTCTGTCGCTCGCCTGAGCCAGTTGCACGTTCGGAGCTCCAGCTCGACCACACGTCCTCGAGCACTGCGCACTTTTCCATTTCAATGAAAAGAAATCTGCGGTGCCAAGGATGCGATGGGGTTCGCGACAGGGCAGGTAGGGTAGACTGCCCGTGAGACGGTTGAGCTGCGCAAGACCGCAGCGTTCATGGCTTCACGATGTCTAAATGTCGACCGCAGCGGCACACCAGGCGAGGGCGCGGCGTCGCTGCTCCGCGAGACGCTGGAGCTTCGTGACAGAGAACTCGCTGCGGCGCGGCAGCAGCTCACGGCTCAGGAGGAGGCGCACGCAGAAACGGTGTGTTTCAAAGCCCGATCTCAAATTCCCACCCGTCCTCGTACCATTCAAGAGGGCCCGGTGTCGCAGGTTTCATCGCTCCAAGCGCAACTCCAGGCTGCACGGCGCGAAGCTAGCGAGGCGCGCGAAGCTAGCGAGGCGTTTGCCTGAGAATTCAGACTGAAGCCTCCACCACTCTCCCGCTTCCCACAGGCGCGGCGTGAGTCGAAAACCCCTGCGGGCAGCGCCAGGCGCTTCCTCGAGTAATACATGTAGCCGTCCTCCTCGGTTGAGCACACACCGTGTGCGGTGGAGTCTTGCGACACGTTGCTGCGTGACGATATGGCGCGATTCAGTTTTCGTGAGGTCACTACACTTTCCCCGCCCGTAATTCTGTTTAAGTCGCGTTTTCCGTGTACAGTATTAGCTGGGAGTGAGTGCTACGTACAAGCTGGATCAGCTCGGGTCTGGCCGCGGGCGCTCCGGCCCTAAAAATCGCCGCTGGGCGCTGCGCCCTGCCGGTGCCGCGCGCGGGGTGCATGCTGCATGGCGGCGGGAGGCGGGGTGTGTCGTGTGTGTGTCTCGCTCGGCCGCGTCTCGGGCGTCGCCGCCGCTCGCGCTCTCGCCTCCGTCGCCGCGTGACTGTACAGACTGAGACTGTGGAGCTCGCGCGCCCGCCGCCACGTCTGTCTCTCTCGCGGGTGAGCGCGACCGTTGTCGGTCCGTTGAGTGGTCGTGACGACGGGGCGGTCTCTCGGCCCCCACAGGAGCGAATCTTGAGCGTGCTCAGCCTCTCTGGCCCTCTTTCGCACGGCTCTACAAAGGAGACTCGACGAGCGGACTCGGCACAGGAGAGCCTGAGGTCGCTGGCACCACGCGGGGCTCGAACGCCGACCAGTCGCCCGAAGCGTCGGGACTGTTGACGGTCGGGGTTAGCGCGACTGCGGCGGCGGCGGCGGCGGCGGCATCGGACGGCTCAGCGGCCGTCACTTCGTGCGCAACATCGGCCGCGCTATCGTCTGGCGCTTGCACGGGCGGAGGCCGCCGCTTCGAGAGCTCGGGCGCAATGGCCGTGTGCGAGCGCCTCCGCTGCTCCCGCGCGAGGACGAGCAAGCCGAGGAGGACCATCAGGCACCCAAAGACGTATAGGCACAGAAACAGGGGATGCTCCACGAGACGTTCGGCGGCGGCTTCTCGCCCACCGCCGTTCTCAAGCTGCGCCGCCTCGCGCGCAAAGTCGCGCGCGGCAGCGTTGACCGCACGGCCTACTCGCCCAAGTACTCGCTCTCTTTTATGTCCCACCATGCAGAGCGCATCTCTCTCTCTGTTGTGCGAGGCGTGAACCGCGCCATTCGCTCTCACCTGGCAACCCTGTCTGCACGTCTCGCGCGCGCGTGAACTAGGGCTCCAGGCCCCAAATTACGTGTGAGTGTTAGAGTTGTTTGGTATTGCTAAAAATCTCTCTCTCTCGCCACCGCGACCCCTCGTGGCATCTTTCTTTCTCGCCGTCGGCGAGCTAGGGGCTCGCGGACGGCCGACTTTTTATATGACCAGTAGGACAGCCGTGAGTGTGAATCGGATAAGGAGTTTGCGTCCGTCCACCGCCTTCGTGGACGTCTGTCCTCGTGACACCCACACCCCACACGGCCTGTGTTGCTTCCCCCACCCACCCTCCCTTGGTCCTGCAACGGTGTCTCGTGCGGAGCAGTGGTGTGCGCCCGGGGGCTGTCGCGCGAGGGTTGCAGGCGTGAGTGGGGTCCGCGGGTCCGCGCAGCATGGCGCACATGCTGGAGGATCTGTATGTCCCTGTGGAGGTGTTGGGCTGCATTGCCTCGCACTTTGACGCCGCGGCGACTCTGCTCGCCTTTGAGTGCGCCGCCTCGTCCTGTCGGCGTGCGACTGCCGGCGCGTGGCGCAACTTGACGCTCTCGCGCTTTCCGCGCGTGGAGGATATCCTGCGCCTATCTCCCATGCCCGCTCCCTCATTCAGAGAGCTCTTCCGCCGACAAATCGCGGCGGCGCTGCCGCCGCCCCGGCCGAGCCTCGCCGACTTCATCCTCAGCGTTGAGCTCTCGGTCGACGGAGAAATGACGCACTCCTGGACAGGGCCCTACTGGGAAAGCGGCCAGGGCGAAGGCGGAGCCGCCCCGCGCCTCTGGCCCGGCGAGCCGCCGCCCTGGTTCAGGCCGTTCATCGCGATTAGCAAAGACAACGACCACCTTGTCTCCCGTGATGGCGCTGAAGGGTGGGCCGTCCCAGCCGCCCTCGCCGAGGCGTACACGTGCACGGTGACGGTGACGCACGCGCTTCGCTCGGCGCGGCTCTACAGCGGCCGCCCGTCCCTCGTCTGCGCGTCGCGCGACGACTGCGTCGTCTTTGACGAGCGGCGCCTGCCGCCTCTCTTCTCGCCGCCCGATCCCTCGTCTTGGCAGGACGAGGAGCAGGAGGCGGGTTTCTCCCTCGTCCGCGTCGACCCGGCCCACGACGTCAGGTGCAGGGCGCACCTAAGCCACGCCGGTGGCCGCGGCGCGGGGGGCGGCCACCTCGAGCTCGACTTTGGCAACGAGACGGGGCGGCTCAACGGGCGGCAGGCGCTGCTCGAGTACCTGCTCCTGCTCACCGCGCGGGTGGCGGGGTAGCGGCGGGGGGGGGAGAGTCGCACACACGCTCCTGCCGCATGCGCTAGCGCGCACCACCGACGGCCGCAGACCCCCACGAACGGCTACCCCCCCACACCGCCCGGCCGTGAGCGGTTATATGTCAGTACACGAACGCAAGTAGCGACTACGGCGTCTGAGTACGGGGCGGCCGCCCATATACGCCGCCGCTCGACCCAAAAATGGTCGCTTACGTTCACACCTCTCGGCAGCTGTTAGCAGCACCGCTCTGTGGCGGCCAACTGGTCGTCGGGTCTCACTACTGGCAGGGTAGTCAGTCTAAGTTATCTGAGCCTCGCGGCTTAACGGGTTTCATAGTGGTGGCTACGGCTTTAGCCACACTGGAGAGTGCTTACGCGGTAAGTCGGCCACATGGCACGATAATCGATATACGGCGCTAGCCCCCCAATTTTCTTCGCCTGCGGCGGGCGATCGATCCTCCTCATGCTCAGCAATCGCCGCCTCAGCATCCTCCTCTTGCTCTTCCGATTCTCGTTGCTGCTTCTTGAGCGCACTTCGGCGACGTCTAGCCAAACAGTTCTCACAAATAGCCTCAAGCTCAAACAAACGCATGTCAGAGAAGCCTATGTATGCTGGTCCTCTTTGAACGATCCGCGCGTGAGGTAGCATAGGGCCTTGTTGGCAGCAGCCAGCTTGTTGCGCTGCTTCGTTGCGATGAGCTGATTGGGATCGCAGAAGTGCATGCCAAGCACCGCCACGATCTTGAAGCAGAACACATCGCAACCGCATCGTCCGCACTGCCATCGGCATGCCGCGCCCGCCGCTTCGCCGCACCGCCTTAAGGCACGCATAAGAGCGGCAGAACGCGCCCGTACGGTGCGCGTACTTGAGCAGGCGTTGCGCGCCGCAAGTAGCGCACTGGCCCTGGGAGACGGCGTTGTGCTGTGTATGGCGGCATGCGCGGCATACGTTGGTCGGACCGACGCGTCCAGGTATTTTTCGGGTAAACCTGGACTTTTGCAGGTATACCCCGATCGGTCACACCGCCATCGCCGTCGGGGAGAGGGGGGACGACACTGCTTCGGCAGCGTGCACCTCGATCCTGTACCGTGTTTGTTATGACCCCCCCCAATGAACACACCAGTGAGGGAGGGCGAGACGATCGAGGGGTCCCGTACCATGCGGAATCGACCCTATCCAGTGCTCAAGTGCTCAAGTTGGGGCCTCGAGATACAGGCCAGAACGAGTGAACGGGACCCGCAGCCAGCTGATATCCGTCCACAATCGAGTTTGCCGACGATCGACTTTGCAGCCGGCCGCCACCAATACAGACGGCTTTAGGCTGCCGATCCGGCTGCTCGTGCGGCTCCAATCCGGTCCCTCACACTCAGCTCCAATCCGCACAAGCTGTGACAACTTTGACGTCGCCGGCTTTGGCCAGGTGCAGCCCGCCACCTGCCCCGCCTCCATCTTCACGCTGCCCGTAGGTGATTGCTGGGGGGGGGGGGGGCTCCAACCTCCTGACGCCGCCGTATGACTTAGGTGAGGGGCACCCGCCTGGACGCCTGGAACGCGCTCTCATCAGCAGTCGATCAAACCTTCCCGACATGCCGACCTATTCGCTCGCCCGGTCTCTCGATCTGGACTGGCCATCTGGCTGCGGGCCTGCGCTCGCGGTGCGGACGGTCGACCACGGGTGACGCTCTCACTCCGGAGAAGTCAATGTCTCCCCTGTCCCCGGCTGCCGTCCGTCTCAAAGTCAGCTCCGCCTGATGGCCAAGCGACGGCTGAGCCTGGACAGAGATTCGAGTGGCCGTGGAGGTGGGACTGCCCTCCGCTCGGTCGACTTCGCGACGGACGAACAATGGCGTGCGCACGGCGCTGCAGCGATGATCGCTCGCGACGCCCGGAGCTGGAGCTGCCGGTGCCACCTCCTGCTAGACGCTTCCCGAAACAGGCATGCCCCACTCATCACACGTCGGCTGCCCCACCGTAGGGCCGCAGACAGCCGAGGCCGCCAAGAAGTGAATGGAGAAGGAGCGCCAGCGGGTGCTGCGGCGGCGCGACGCGGACAAGGTCACGGTGTTTGCGGCTCGAGGAGCTGCTGGCCGGCGACGCCACGGACGCGACAGTGGAATCTGCGATGGGGGAGGCAAATGCAAATCTGCACAGTCCGAGGGGATTCTGCGCAGGTGGGGCGGTGCGAGTGCGAGCGACCCCCAGCTTTCGCTGCTCGGGTGGGTCCCACGATCGGGCCATGCCGATCGCTAAGCCGAGGTTGCCTCACGCCCTTTCGGACGCAGTCGATGTTCTCGTTCCCCGCTCTAGGCGCCGGCTCCCAACCCGCAGGGGGGCTCCCATCGGCGCAATGCCGAGAAGGGTGGGGAAGTACCGTAGACCCTTGCGGGGTTCCGGCCTAGTGCCCAGGGATCTCCGAACGCCGTCAGGGGCACCCGCGGCGGTCAAGCCAGACCGGGAGATGTGGCGCGTGTGTGATCGCGCGAGACGGAGGCGCGTGGGTCGGGCGGGCGGGCGTGGGGCTGACCAGGGAGAGTAAAGTCGGGGTGGAACCAGCGAGCTCCTCCGGGTAGCTGCAGCCTTGGTGAAGAGTGTGGCGGTGAGGGAGTCGTGCTCGGCGGAGCAAGCGTTGAGAGGCACGCGGATGGGTTGTGGTAGGACTGCAGGTCGTCACATCGAAAAGTCTGGAACGCAGACAGATTGTGGTAGGACTGCAGGTCGTCACATCGAAAAGTCTGGAACACAAACGGGTATTCTCCACCGCGACTGAAGCTGGACGGAGCCACTCTCGCGGCAATCTGTAGAGTCGACGGCAGCGGAGGCGGCGGGAAGCAGTAGCTGGATGGTGCAAGAGGCTGCTGGTCGCCCCGATGAGACACCTCACGCGGCAAGGAAGACTGGTCGACGCGATCTTCGGGCCAGCCATCCACCAGTGCGTCATGGTCGAGGCAGCCGTCGTAGGTGAGGCCGTCTGAGGCGTTTCCCGACGGCACGGCGATATCTGTGGCAGGGCGCACGGCCAGCCCCATCGAGCGGAAGAGGCCAGACGGAGCAGTCGCTGGTCCGCGTGTTCGCAGCCGCACGGAGATCTTGGGGTGCAGCACTTGAGACGGCTGACTGATCTTCGAGGAGCTCGGGAGCATGTGCCTCGACACGTCAGAGATGAGGAGAGCGATGGCGAGTGCGGAGCACCAGACGTATGTCAGTGTGCCAGGCATGACCGCTTCGACACTCGCTGCCGCGCGGACTCTCCAAAAGCAAGCGCGGAGAGGCTGCAGCGACGCGAGAGCGAGAGCGAGAGGCTCTCCGCCCCTTGAACCGCGGTGTGGCTCAGATTTCACAGCAACTCGCCACCCCGTGTTTTTCACCTCGAACCATCATGGTTTTAGGTATATGAAAGAAAGAAAACAGACAACCCAAGGGAGGGATGGGATATGGTGGGGACAGTGCAGCGGAGCCGGTATTCTTGTTTTGGCCCCCAAACCGCCGTCGGTTCGCGGCAGGTGTCCCTCTGCCCGCATGTGCGGAAACAGCAGCTGCGACAACCACCTGACCGCCGAAGAGGCACGCGCCGCCGCGCGAGAGGAGGGTCTCGAGCTCGTGCCGTCCAACAACGGCACCGGCTTCCAGAACGTCTTTCGCTCGCCCGGCTTCAAGAAGGCGCCGGCCCACCCGTTCCTTGCGGTGGTGTACGGTCCCAGGAGGACGTCGCTCGGCAAGTTCGCGACTGCGGAGCACGCCGCGCTCGCGTGTGCTCGGCACTTCAAGACGCTGTCTGGTGCAACGGTGGGCGCCGCAGGCGCCAGTCGCCAATGGGGTGGGCCGCTGAAGGCTCGCAACACGGAGGCAGTCGCCGAGGAGGCCACGGTGTCAGCCGGATCCCACGAGCGGCCGGGGGGCGCACTAGATTCCGCCTCGTGCCTCGTGCCGAGCGATACGACGGGCAACGAGGTGGCGGCGGTGGGGGACACGTGGTGGAAGAGGCACTCGGAGGAGCGGGCGAGGATCGATGCGCTGAGCGGGGACGAGGTTGAGAAGGAGGCCGAGGCGCACGGGCTCGAGCTCACCAGGTCGACACGCAACAAGTCGGGCTACGCGGGCGTCTTCAAGAGGAGCAGAAAATCGGCCGGCGCTGCCGACCGCTATGAGGCGCTCTGGGCTCCCGGGCAGAAGGAGCTGGAGAGGCTGGGGCTCAAGTCGAACGTGAGCTTCGGCACGTGGGAGCGGCCCGACCAGGCCGCGCTCGTCCTCGCGCTTGAGAGCAAGCGCATCCTGGATGCGTCGGGGAGGAAGCGCCGAGGGAATGGCGGCGCAGGAGGCTCTCTGGAGAGCAAGAAGCACGCCAGCCTCCTGATGGGACTGGCAAAGCCGGCGCACTCACCGCCCTGCGAGCGCCCGCCCGCCGCCGCGCCGGCGACGACAGCGGGGAGCGGAGAGAGCAACGGCGCCGCGCTGGGAGCGGTGGCGGGGACGACAGAGAAAGAGGCGTGCGGGAGTGTTTAGAGAGAGCGTGGTAGGGGCACGCATGAACGTGGATCGTGGATGACGCCGGCGGACGGATGGTTTGGGAAATTTGCGCATAATTAAGTACATGCAACCCTGGCAAGCTGCCTGATCACGGCCAGACAAAACTCCTGAGCAAACACACCGCAACAACAGTCAACACCGCAACACAACAGTCAACAACAGCGTCGACAGGTCACTGGTCAGGGACCACAACGAGAAAAGGAAAACATCCCGATCCTGCAGGGATAACGGAGGCAACGCAGGGACGGGCCAACAGCCAGTGGGACGAACAGGGGCCGCGACAGCGGCTCAAGCAGGCCCAGGAGGGAGCGGAGACGATGTCAAATCCGGAGGTTGCGTTTGCGGCGACGACTGCGGCGACGGCTGCTGCGGCGACGGCTGCTGCGGTGACGGCTGCTGCGGTGAGAGCTGCTGTGGTGAGAGCTGCTGTGGTGAGAGCTGCTGTGGCGACGGCTGTTGCAATGGCTGTTGCTGCGGCGGCAGCGGCGGCTGCTGCGGCGACGGCAGCTGCGATGGCTGCGACGGCTGCGACAACATCAGCGGCGGCGGCTGCGATGGCGTCGCCTGCTGCGGGAGAGCCGGCTGCGGGAGCGACGGCTGCGACGGCTGCGGCGACTGCTGCGCCGGCTGTGGCGATGCCATGGGCTGCGGCAACGGCAAAAGCAGCGGCTGTGCCGGACCGAAAGGCTGTGCCGCGGCAGCCAACGCCCCAGCCTGCATGGCGGCACCGAAGCCGGGCTCCGTAGCTGCGTGTGAGCTGTCGCTGCTTGTGTATAAGCCAGGTGAGCTCGCCGGCGACGAGGCGTCGTTCCACGGACCGGGAATGATTGGAAGCACCATCCGCCGGCGAGAAGAAGAAAGATAAAAATTTCGGACACTCTCCCATACTTACTTAAAATAAATAAATAAAAACGGACACCTCTCTACTGTGAGATGGGTAAAAAGGAACAGGTCCCCGCCCTTGCGATCTTTGTGCAGGGTTCTTTGTGGGTGTGGTCGGCGACTAGCCGGGGTCGTCCTCCCGCTGGGGGACTATGAACACCTGGCGAGGTTCTCGCCGGGAATGACAACCCCCACCCCGCCCCCGCCCTACACATCACCCAGGACCTAGCCGGTGTGGTTGAAGGGAACTTGCTGGGGTGGTGTGAAACGCCGATCCCCCCGCTCTCCATCGCGCATCGGGCCACATAGAGGTAGCGCCAGGCCCCAAATGATGTGTGCCCATCTCCTCCTCCCGGGTACACCAGCCTCCGGCGGGGCGGTTCCGGATCCCCCAGGTCATTCCGAGCGGGTCCGTACGGTGGCGGCCCCGTCGGCGGCGGGGGTGGAGGCGGTGGCAGGGGCGGCAGTCACGTAATAATTCTTTCAAGCTCCGCGTGCCTTTCAGAGCAGGCGTGCTGCGCCTCGCTGTGCTACGGGCTCGCCGCCCTCTCACACTTGCACTCGCGACCGCGTCGCCCCGCATGCGACCGTGGCGCCACGCGCGCGCCAAGCGCCCCGCACCGCCGCTTCGGGGGCGGCCGCATATGCTCACTGTGTGCCCCGCTGCGCTGCGCAGACGCTGCGATGTCGGGCTTCGCGACTGAGCCAAAGCTCTTCGGAAAGTGGTCGTTCGAGGAGGTGGAGGTCAAGGACATATCGCTGGAGGATTACATCGCGTGCAAACCGAAGTATGCGCAGTTCCTGCCCCACTCGCAGGGCCGGTGGCAGAAGAAGCGCTTTCGCAAGGCGCAGTGCCCTATTGTCGAGCGCATGGTTTGCTCGATGATGCGGCACGGCCGCAACAACGGCAAGAAGCTGATGGCTGTGCGCATCGTCAAGCACGCCTTTGAGATCGTCCACCTGCTGACGGACTCCAACCCAGTCCAGGTTTACGTCGACGCAGTCATCAACTGCGGCCCACGCGAGGACTCGACCCGCGTCGGCGGCGGCGGCGCTGTGCGGCGCCAGGCGTGCGACGTGTCGCCGCTGCGCCGTGTCAACACGGCCATCTACCTGATGACGACGGGCGCGCGCGAGGCTTCGTTTCGCAACATCAAGACGATTGCCGAGTGCCTCGCCGATGAGATCATGAACGCCGCAAAGGCGCGCGCCGCCGCCGCCCGCCTCTGTGCCGCCGAGACGCCCACCCACTAACGGCGGCTTGCTGCCGCCCACCGGACGCGCGTTTCCGCCGCTGCCGCATTCGCCGCCCTTCGCGCTGCTGTCGTGTGGCCCGGACCCTCACGCCCGACCCACAGCCCCGCGCGCACGCACAGCTGTGCGATCGCGCAGGGAGCGTGTGCGCGAAGGGGGGGAGGGCGGGGGGGGGGGGGGGGGGGGGCCATCGGACACAAGGGACCCGGGCCCTTGAGGGGGGGACCCCCGAATGGGGCCGGGTTGAAAGGGGGGCCCCTTTTTGGGGGCCCCGGGCCAACTCCTTGAGGGAGGGGACCCCCCCCCCCCCCCCCTTGCCTCTCTGCCCCACCGCCTCGAGCGCGCGGCCGCCTCTCTCAGCCACCACCGGCTGCTTGCTTGCGCAGGGCTCGTCCAACTCCTACGCCATCAAGAAGAAGGACGAGATTGAGCGCGTCGCCAAGTCCAACCGGTAAACAGTGCCCTCGCCGTGACGTGCGGAGGCCCTGCCGTACCCACCACCTGTTCGCTCTGGACGCACGCCCTGCGTGGGCACGACCTGGCGTTCGTGCGCAACAACTCGCCGTCCTTGTCTGTTTACTCCCCACACGGTCTTGTCTCTCTCGTGCGGAGACACGCACGCGATGCTCGGAGGCCAGAGAGCGGAGATCGTGTGGCGCGGGGGACGTGGTTATGCTCTTTGCTCTCAATTTTAGCCTCTACAGTACAAACCGAGGACCGCGAGGATGAAACTGGGAGTGGCTCACTTCGAAAGAAGAGAACCCATCAAATCCAACCGTACAGGGGGACGCGCGGCGGGCCACGCCGCAGCGCCGCGCGCGCGGCGGCCGGCGCGCGACCGCGAGACGCGCCCGCGCGAGACTATATTAGAGGCGAGCCGAGCACCGACAGGAGCTGGACTGCTTGGAATCATAGCGACATGCGGCGTAAAGGCGGGGATGGTGGCCTCAGGTCAGGGGGCCTCGTGCCCGTTCAGCGTGCGCGTCGCGACCGAGGCAGAGTAGGAGCGCTTGCATGCGTCCTAAGAGGCAAAGCCAAAGCGAGGAGCGGGGTGAGGAGGAGCGGGGCTGTGGGCGAGGACGTCTGTGGCACCTTGAAGCCCTTGCCAAAGGAGAAGGTGGGCGCGACGGTGGCTGCGGAGGCGGAGCAGAGACGGGTCCGAGTCAGGTGCGGGGGCGGCACCAGGGTGGGGGCGCCAGGTGAGGCACGCCTGCAATCTGCATCTTCTCGCCCGTCTGCGGGTTGCGCCCCTCCCTGGCAGCCCGCTCCTTGGAGTCGAAGGTCCCGAACCCCACGAGCGACACCTGACACGCTCACGGGCGGATATCTCGCGGAGGCGCGGAGGAGCGCCGGGCGAGCGCGCGCGCCTTGTTGCCATCAGCAACCGACTCGACGATCACGTCGAGCGCTGCGAGCGGGGAGGGCAAAGAGGGGTGAACGGCAGGGACGCGAGGCGCGCGTGCCGCTCTCGCGCCCACCGGACGAGAGGACGGCGCCGGCCATCTTCTTGGAGACGCCAGCGCGGGCCGCGATGGCGTCAACCAGGTCGCCCTTGGACACCGCCATCCGCACCGAGCTCCGCGCAGCAACGTGGCCACCCCACGCTCGCGGCGCCGGCCGGAAAGCCTCCGCGCACGAGAGGAGCGCGCAGAGCACCGTCGCCAACAACCTAACCATTTTAGACTCTCGAACCAGAGTCTTTTTTTTGCAGATCGCACGCAGGTGCTGCTGCGGTGCCGCTGCCTCTGCGTCAATCCGTCGGAAGGAGTGCGCTCGTTGCCACGAGGTGGAGTATTGCTCTGTCGGGTGCCAAAAGAGCGATTGGAAGGCGCACAAGAAGATCGGTGGCAAGGCGGGCCCCCAGTAGATCGCTCGCTCGCAGCACTTGATCTTAGTTGAGGTGGATCCTAGGTGGCTGTGACTCAGCAACATCTTGTGAGTTGTGTTTCTTGCGTAGCGCCTTTTACACTTGTTGTGTTGTTTGGTATTGTTAAAAATCTCTCTCACATGACAACACACGTCATTGCTAAAAATCTCTCTCATATGCACAACATACATGTCCATGCACATGTGCATGCACATGTGTGAGAGAGATTTTTGAAAACCAACAAGAAATCACGACTCTCACAGTGATTTGGGCTCGGCAGCTTGTCAGCCCTCAGCCGAAGCTGGGGCCGGTCCCGCAGCCGAGAGAGCCCGCGCCGTGAGTTCGACGCGGTCGGGAGGCCTTGCGGAGAGGCCAGCGAGGTGGCGATCGCTGTACTTCATGGTCGTCATTAAGTGACCGGCTGACAAGCCAGAGGTCGATACTCTGGACGACCCATAGGATGCCACGAATGCCTGAAGGAGAGGGAGGCGAGGCCAGAGGCAGACTCAGCTGCTCTCGGGTGATCTCGCTTTGGTGGCTGAAGGACCCGATGGTCCTGTCACATTCGCGTTCCGAGTCGTGGGGGTAGAAGAATTCGAGGTAGAATCGAGTCAGCGCTTCCTTGTAGTACAGCGGACCGCCAGGCTCGCCGGCAGCATCCGCAGGGAGGCAGCATATGAGGCACCAGTCTTCTGAAGAGCTCAACAGCTGCGGCCGCGATGGTAGAGTCGGCCGCGGTTCGAGCGAGCAGCTTTTGGCTGCGGGATCGAATCGCGGAAGGCTCATGCCCTCGCGGAGCGACGCGGGTCGCGCGGCGCGCGCGTGTGCGAATTGCGACAACAGACGACAGATGACAGACGCCTGAGCGCTGAGCGACTGAACGACCGTCGCCGCAATCGACACCGCTGCCATTTTGACGAGCAGCGCGAGCGCGCTCGTCGGCGGCCAGCCGTCGCGGGCCGGGCCGAGCCCGGCCTCACAACCGGCCGCGCCGCCGTAGCAGGCCCGGAGGCCCACATGGCGGCCCGCCGACCAGCTGATAAGGAGGCCTCTCTTCCTTCTTGATGTGTTGGTATTGCGAAAAATCTGTATATCTCTCTCTCACATATCGCCCCGGGCAAGGCCAAGGAGAGAGGCTACTCAGTTAACTACTCATTCACCCTTTAGGTGTTCATGCCGCCGCACACAGCGGGTCCCCAAAGGGTGAAGGCCTTCCCTGGGACCCCGTGTTGCGTGACTGTCTCTGTGCGATTTCGGGCCCGGGAGCATTTGGAGCATTTGGAGTGCCGTCATTAACCGCACATCCAGGGCCGGGGAGCTAAGAAGCGCACCCAGCGGGCCCGGGGTAGCGGGGTTGTGCGTTCCTGTGCCGGGGTTGTGCGTTTGGGATCCTTTATCACAGACCAGCGCATAGCGCCATCGGACGTATTTTCTTCTCATAACAAGGCTGTGAAGGCTGTGCCAGCCGGGACCTTGCACCATACACGCTTCCCCGTTCCCCCTGCCACGTGCCAGTGGGTGAAATTCTCAAAAAGGTGCAGCACTTCTAGCCGACATCGACAAAAGTCACTCTCTAGCCGCCGCGGCGAGCGACCCTGCCCGAGGTGAAGAAAATTTTGCCATATTAACGCTCTCTGACAAACATTTTTGCATAAATCGACACCTGAAATAAGACTGGTATCACTGCAGCACGCCTCGAGCGAGTAATGCATCTGTTGGCCAATATAATACCCGGGTACTTAATAGAGCTTCTCGCGCGCTCCTCAGCTGGCGGTCCGCAGGGCGAGAAGCGCAGGCCCGCCAGCCGCACCATGTGGTTCACGATGATGAGCGTCTCGGCCGCGAGCAGCGTGTAGGAGCGAAGCTTGCCCTCGCACTCGCGTTGCTCGAGCCTGAGGCTGAGCCACTGCGCCCTGACCACGAGATAGCCCACGCGGATGGTGTCTGTGTTGACGACCGTGTCCTCGGCCAGCGTGTGCGCCTTCCCCTTGAGCACCGCCAGCCAGTAGAGCCCCTCGAGCGACCGTTCGCGCCGATCTGCCAGCTGCTTCGCCTTGAGCGACGCGGCCCACACCTCCAGCGACTCCATCTGCCGCAGCTCGGCCGTCTCGCCTGCGGCACGCGGCGCCTTCTGCTTCTTGACCTTGCCAAAGACGGCGACCATCTCGCAGTCCCCCCACTGAAGAGCGATGCACGGCGGGCACGCGCATGGAATACCGCGCCGGCGACTGCAAGGATGCGGCCGCCGCGCGGAAGGATGGGCTCCTGACCATGTAAAGCTAGTATTGAGCCGTGCCGTCGATTGGCGGCACGGAGGGGTACGTAGGTCGGCTTCATGGTGCCTCGACGACCAAGTCGGTTACGCGGAGGGGTTACTACGAGGTATCTGTGGGAGCGGTCGGGCGCCAGGCGCCCAGTCGATTGCCGCATAGTTAGTTGTCGTAGTAACCCTATCATAAAGCTGTCACATTCACACCTTGCACTTTGAAAAAAGAAATGTCCGACTTTGGTCGAAGATCCGGAGCGCGGAGGGTTTATCAGAGCATCACTTTATCAGAGCATCAGTGCATCACCCAACAGTGCCACACACAATGTGAGTGTTAGAGTTGTTTGGTATTGCTAAAAATCTCTCTCACAATGTCGGAGTCTGCACTGCCAACCTGACCTTTGAGCACTTGAGCACTGGATAGGGTCGATTCCGCATGGTACGGGACCCCATGAACACCCCTGTGCATGCCGTCCGCCACATGGCACATGGGCTGCCATCGGCATACACACCTGACCTTGATGAGAGAACTGCTCACGCGCGCGCTAACCCGCATTGTTCTGACTGAACCTCGAACACACACAACAAACAAGGGCTCCAAGCCCCAAATGACGTGTGAGTGTTAGAGTTGTTTGGTATTGGATATTACGACTTACCCCGCCTGTGTAACCTCTCTTTAAGGTATTGCTAAAAATCTCTCTCGAACCACTGACCTGGAACGCTGGAAGAGAAGGGAGTCGTGATTTCTTGTTGGTTTTCAAAAACCTCTCTCTCTGACCTGGTCTCTGCCGCGCGCTTGTCGGTTGCGGAGGTCTGTGTGGCGACTATCTTGGAGCACTTGGAGTGCAGAGACAGGCACGCACGGGCAGAAGGGAAAAAGAGGGAGGAGGCGAGGCTGCCCCCGCTGAGCCCACAATCCGCACCACACACGCACGAGTACAAATACGGGTGGGGCACTTATAGGCCTCCGCGTTCAAAAATTAGGTTTTGTGTGGGCCTGTGTGGTGCTCTGTAGAGAGGTCAACTGGAACGACTGGTGCGTCGTCTCAGCAGTGAGCAGCATTCACCTGGTGGTCGTTGGGAAGGGAGAGTCTCAGCAGAGAGCATGCAGGGACAGGCATTGGTAGGGAGTTGTGGACAGACCGAAGAGGACAGAAGCCGAGTCACTCGAGTATGTGGCCGCACAGAGGAGCGAGACGCGAGACGCCGCCAGCCGCAGCCGAGCCGCAGCCGAGCCGCGAGCGAGCTGGTTGATCGACGCAGGCAGCTGCCGAACTCCAGGCCGCGTCAACACTCCCAGGGAGAGGACAATGCCGAGACGGCGGCACACCCGCACAGGTGCCACATCCATCAAGCAGTGGCTCTCCACGTACGCCTCGCGTGCGCATTCATTCTTCTGATTGAAGGGGTTCACGGCCGGCAGCGACTGCCCATACAAGGGAGTTCGCGGCGGGTCCATGTCCGCCCTTCCCGCCCCGACCGTGTAGAAAGTGGCACTGCTCAGGGCTACTGAATGGTCCGACTCGCGACTGGCTCCATTCTGATCTCAACGCTGTGACAAATCCACACTCTGTCCACACTGGGAGCTCGCCCGTCACGCAGCCATTGTGGCGCAGAGACGAGGGTGTGCTCTAACCAATTAGTTGTGGACGGATGGATGTTGTGCATATTCAGTGCCAGCGGCGAGAGGCCGAGGCGAGACGGTCGCCGAGGTGCGACCTAGGGACGTTCGGACTCCGCCAGAAACAAGCTACAAGGTGCAGACCACAGAAATTTCTTGCAAACAAGGAGGCGCCACATTTCAGAAAGGTTTTAGGTATGTTGTTGCGATTTGTTTTGTTGTCGATTGACGTAGCGGGCTTTCTTTTCCGCCGGGTATTCCGCCGGGTATTTCCGCCGGGTAGTATTTCCACAATCGTAATCTCGAAGCGACGCGTCCCGGCCGACGACTCCTTATCATCCAGCACCGACCGGCCGTGCGGCGCCCCTCTATTTCCCAGCTAGTTTTTTAGGGGGGCTAGGCCGACAATATTTTATTTCGCGCCGGGGGTGCATCTGCGTCGGGGGGAGCCAGACACCGCTGAGAGTCCGAACGCATCACCGCAGAGCATCACAACGCAGCTCGCAACATGCACGAACCGCCGGTCACCCGCCGCTGGGAGCGGGTGGCACTTGCAGAATCTCGAGCCTCGGCGCCAGGCGTCCCCGCCACGGACAGGCTTCTGACGGTGCGAGCGCCGTCGCCGCGTGTGCCCGCCTGTGCGGGTGTGCATTTGACGATTGTCGCCACCCCGTGGCCGCCCTTCCCTACCTACAGGTCCACGCGGGCTACAGGAGCTCTGGACTGCCCGTGCTTGCCCTCCAGCACCTCTACACCGCCGGACCGACAGAGCGGCCAAATCAACGGCCTCTGCCAGGCGCCGCCATCCCGCC